TAAGAAAACTTCAATCAGTTGTCTTTTACGGAAACAGGTTCCTCTTTTTCCTACGTTTCTGTTAAGAATATACTCAATAGTATGGATATGTTTGCCTATCGTCCCATTCAAAAACTACTTGTAAGTAAAAAATGTCAAACTCCGATTTGAATTGGCCCAGAAGTGGTTATTTATGGGAATAGAGAGAATAAAGACCATCATATTTAGTGATGAGTCTAAATTCAACTTGTTTTACTCCGATGGCAAGTCCTTTGTGTGAAGAGAGTTTGGAACAGGACTTCTGTCGCAACATATTGACAAATCTGTCAAATATGGAGGTGGAAGTGAAATGGTGTGGGGATGTTTTTCATATTATGGAGTTGGAAAGTTGGTGTTTATAAGAGGATAAAATAGATGCTATTCAACATGTGTGCATCCTTTTCAATATCCTCTTTAAATCTGTTGCATCAATGGGCTTGAATCAGTTCATTTTCAAGCAAGACAACGACCCAAAACACAGATCAAAGCTGGCATCAGAGTTTTTGATAGAAAGAAATGTGGAATTATCGCCTTGGCCTGCTCAATCATCAGACATGAACCCAATTGAGAACTCATGGGGGATAATAAAGTCTAAAATAGGCATATCAAGCCTAAAAATATCAAAGAACTTAAAGTGCAATTAAGACGTCTTGGGTAGAAATAACCACGGATATGACAATGAAATTGGCTGAAAGTTTTCAAAAACGAGCTATTGCTCTTTATAAAGCCATAGATGAATCAACAAAATATTAAATGGCTGGTGGTACGTTTTTATTTTAACAAAAAAGTTTAAAAAGAATAAAATAGTCCAAATTATACTTATTAAAAAACATAAATGTAAAATAATTTAAGAAACATACAGCTATCTTATATTTTTTTCATTTCGACCAAAAAAGGAGTGGTGCGTTTTTTTAACAAACTGCATATATATATAACTAGGTTTTCAGAATATAACTTGCCCACAAAATTCTTTAAATAAAACCAACAACTATATTTGCTTTTTTTGAGCATATTTTCTGAATCCAAATAAACATGGTCTTAGCAGACACAATCTAGTATGTCCTTGGGGCAGAAACGGCCTAGGGAAGATATCGTACCGTACATTCTGCTTCATTGAACTAGCATAACGAACCTGAACTCACGAGCAACATACTGATGCCATGGCGAAAATTTAAGGCCTCAAAAAATTTGACTGCGAAGTCGATGTCACAAGCAATAGCTGTACCATCGACGCATTGACAGATGAGTTCCGTAATTCTGACAAGCCGGCGGAAATCTACTTTGGCTTCAAAATTTCAAGTGAATATTTCAGCAAGCATGGAGCCTAGCGGACTTCCTTTCGGCACACCCTCTATTTTTCAGGGCATATGATTACTGAAGCAGAACCGGATGTCCCATATGCACGTGGATGCAGACAGTTTCAATTGCTCTCAGATCAGACCTGCGTCAGATTGAACTTTCCAGATTTCTTTCCCTCCCATTGAAATCGTAGTAAACCTGTAAACTAGCAAAGCTCGGATGAGAATATCGTTCTATTTTTGACGTTCAGATAGTTGATTTGCTAAGTAAACTAGAAAATATAGCTAACACTAATTTTTTCTAACAAATTAATAACATATCACAATACTTATCACAGTACCTGAGCAAATTTGTAGCAGAGAGAGTTGATGCTAAACGAAATAAGTCACAGAGGGACGTTACTTTTGTGTGTTTAAAGGAATATATACAGTCTAGGCAATAGGGATCTAGCAAGCGTCTTAGAAACATACTTAACGTAAGTGAAGATATTTGAGTCAGTAAGACTAGAAATGCGTAATGCATCCTTTCTTTCTGCTGCATAGTTTTTCCATGAGTATTCACTTAGTGAATGAATGGTCGGCCCAAGAAAGTAAGTATATGAAGAAAAAATGTGGGCTGAAAGTGAGCCGGGTAAAACTAAAAAATATAAGTACCAACAAATTTTTTCTGCATACTGAAAATCATGTTTCTTGTAAAGAGAGTAAATGAACTAACTTATATCCGAAACCAGTCATAAAAATCAGATGGGGAAATGTATTCAGTAGTAATATTGCCAATGATGATGAGAAGCGAATAAAAAGGCTGGTATATGGCAATTCTTAATATCAAGTCAGGACATTCAATTCAAGGTGGCTTGTCTCATTTTCACTTAGAGCAACAATAGCATAGAGAATTAAAACCGCAGGCTGCGTAGGACGTTAACACGCTAAAGGAGTTTTCCTTCGGTATATGATTTTAACCTTACTGGGAATGCACTCTATTATATAGTTGGAAAAGATGGTCTTGAAGATATGCACAGCAAAGTCAAGTAAACCAATAGCATATACTCGAAGAGCAAGCATTCTCTATGTAATAGGAAAGGTTATTTAAAATATTCAGAAAAACTCACCAGTGATGTTCCAAGAGACACGCCAGACTCTGCCTTTATGCTGATCGAACCTAGCAACCACAGAAATCTGGTAGGCTCCGCTTCCAGTTCCAGAGCAAATTCCTCCATTCAGACGACTCGAGTGTCCTGTCGGATTAGATGAGATTGCGCTACCCGTGGAGGCTAGACTAAGAGCATCGCCTGGGTTTTCAAACAAGAAAAGAGTATTAATTTGATATTACGGATAAAGACGCGGATTATATGGGAAAATAATTGCATTTCAACAGCCACCAAGGTAGTACAACCTAAAAGTTGATTTCATCGGTCGGACAAAAGAATTTAGTTTATAAACAATATGAATACAGAGGCTATCAACCGAAGATAAAGTGGCTAATCCGACAAATAAAATGGAGACACTATATGCATGATAACTTGTTATGCATTCATTCACATGTAAAATGTACTCATTCATTCAGCATACACTATATCCTTATATTGTCAGTACAA